CTGGGCACGGAGGGCTCAGGGCGCCGCTGGAGCCGGGCCCATGCAAGCCCGGGGCGGGAGCAGGCAGCGCGAGCGGGGAAAGTTTTGCACTTGCTGCTGCTCCGTGGGGTGCGTGTCCGGGCCCGGGGGCCGGCCGGGGCACAGGTCCCCGTGCCTCGCTTCCTTACCTCGGCGTTCTCAGTAGCATTCTCCGCCATTTTCCTCCTTAGGAGCAGGCAGCGGGAGGAGTGTTTTATTCCCATAAGAGCCAGCCAAGGGGTTGGGGCTTGGGGTTGGGTGTTTTTTATTTTTTTTAAGGTCTCCAAAAACTGGCGCACACACACACCGAGGCAGCAAATCAATTGGCTTTGTCCTTCCTGCTGCCTCCCCAGGAGCCTTTTCCTTCTCTGTGCATCCAGTTTTCCTTTGGCACTTCCAAGTTCTTCTTCCCTTTCCCCTTTTCCCCCCCACCTCCACCAGGCTCTTGAGCTGAGTTCAGAAGCAACCCCCGCTTCAGCACACACTCACGGCTGCCGGGCTGCACGTCCTGCTCTCCCAGAGAAAGCGAGGGGGCTAAAAAGGAAAGAAGCGCCAACTAAACTCAACTTGGGCGTGCAGTGACCAGCGGGGCATCTTTGTGTCCTGTGGCTAATCTTCCAGTGGCAGAGGGAGCCAGAGACAAAGCAGCGGGGCCAGCAAACCATAGCCCCTTCCTTTCTTCTTTGGGCTCCTCTCTCTCTCGCTCTAAGTCTTCACTTCAGAAAACTTGCTTGTCAAGGAGGGAGCACACACTGCTCACGCTGGCAAAGCATTTGCTAGCTTCTTTCCGTGGATCTCTTGAAAAGGAAACAGCATGCCCCTCCTGTCCTAGTAGGAGTTGAGCTCATGGACCTTCCTTGGGAGGGACAATGATATCAGCGTCCTCCCTCCCCCCCACAACTTTCTTTCTTCTTCCCCACGCCCTTTCGGATCAGCCCCACTTTTCTTGCCAAAGCCTCGCTGCTCTTGAGAAGGATTTTGTGGGTCAGCCCATTAACTCCTTCTGCTCCAGCTTCTTCTCTCTCTGGTTTTGAGGGAAGCCGGTTTCTTTGTGCGTGTGCCTCTTCCTCCCGGCTGTTGATTCCTGGCTTACATCTTCCAGCCCGAGCCTGACTCCCAAACAGACTCCAAATGCAAACCGACCGGCCCTGCTTGGTCTGAGCACAGCTGCTCAGCACTGACAAGAAGCGTTTTGCTTTTCAAGCCCTTCCCTATTTCCGGCCTCTTCCATGGGAACTGTCGTTAAGTTCCCCCTTCGCGCACGTTTCTCTGGTTCTCCCTTTCCCACCACTTTTTAGATTCATGTGGTCTCACAGCCGAGCTAGATTTGGCTGGCTCGCTTTGGTGTGTCGGTGTGTGTGTGTGGGGAGGGAGGCATGTTATACAATGTACTCTTGGGTCTTCACTTTTCCAGTGTTGGGCTCATGGTGATCTCGTTTGGGGAGTGGGATGGAAACTAAAGCGAGAGGGTATTATTTCACATAGGATTTAAGTACCTAACCAACTTCACTACCTTCCGAAATAATATGTCTGGTAGCCTAATCTACATGCCTCTGGCGACAGAGGCATGTAGTCTAGACGTACCCTAAGGCAGTGTTTCCCAATTGGTGCTCCGCAGAACCCCAGGGTTCCGCGAGAAGCCGGCACTCCCCTGCTCCCTCTTAAAGTCTTTTTTGTGGCAGGGGTGGTTTTTTTTTTTTTTTTTTTGGCACAGTCTCTTTTGTAATCGCCTGTAACAAAAGAGTGAAAGAAGAGTTTATCCTTAGCTGACCTCTGCAAATGCTGGCAACACATCAGATGCAGCGCAAGCAACAGGAGCCCATTGGCCGCAGGGATACTCCTGGGGCCCCTGGGACAGGTGTTAGTGACTTATAGAGCCGATAGCCAGACTGGCCCTGCTGCCTTCTCTCCCCAGGTGGGAATAGTGCTATCCTGGCAAGGCAAAGGAAACGAGTGGAGGGAAGCCTAGGAGAGTAGAACGTGTTTTACATCCTCACTTGCAGAGGTGTAGCTCTCCTGTAAGGCAGATGATAGCCATGTGAAAAATTTCAGGGACATATGTGACCTAAACATACTACATAGGGGGTGGTGATACTATGACTTAAATTACAGAATAATGTATTAACCGCATACCAAGTAACTGCAGGTGGTACCTTTGTGAAAAATTACAGAGGCGTGGGAAAAATCCAATGGTCTTAGATTTTGACTGATCACCAGCCACTGTAGATTATCCTAACAAGACAGGCTTTTTAGTAATTTCAAATAGTTACCATTTTTTTTAAAATGATCCTTTCAGGAAAAAATTTCCTTCTCTTCCCAAATGAAGTATTTAAACCTTTCCCCAAATCACACTGACCTGTATGCAAGATGTAGTACCATACCAATAAAAGGTTGAAGCAACTTAGCAGAGCAAGAAATAGGACATTTTATTTTCTCGGTGGGGGACACAGCAAACTTGAAATTCCTCTATCATCTGTTATCATTGTGACAGATTTGCTTAAAAATTCTTTTTAGATCATTCTAGAGATTTTTCTAGTTATCCCAGAACTACATGCAGTTGATCTCTGAGTAACCAAAGAGCACAATATACATTTAAATCTCAAACACTTGCCAAATGCTTTTTTCAGTCACATTCAATGTCAGGTGAAGTTTTTATAGGCATGAGTTTGTGCTGACCTGCATAGCTCAATTATTACTTCCCTACTTACAAGTAATATGCCCAGCTAAAAATTATGCTGCTAATCACTTTAGGCCACACTATTAGGTATTCTCTGTTATGCAGAGAATAAGGACCAGATTTGTCCATTTTCAGCATCCACAGTTAGAACAAGCTCCAGTATTTAGGCAGATAAATAAGGGGCAGGTATTCAAAAATGCTCAAAATCCAGTAGCTTCCATTTTGATAGGTATGCCCAGAATTTCAGAAGAGCTGAGCTGCCATTTAGGCAGTTAAATTAATAGACAGATTTTGAAAAGTGCTCAGCAACCCCGGTGAAAATCTTGTCACTTAAGTTATCCAAATGAGAGTTGTTGATTGCTGAGCTCCCGTGAAGGCCTGGCCTCTTACAAGAGCTTCCGACACACCGCTCCCTACTAGTAATACCTTGTAGAGAGGGGGTCTAGGAAAATATTTGAAAACACGTGCTATTTGGGGCAATCTATTTTATTCTAAAGGCAAATTTGTTCTTCAGGAGTATATGTATTAGTCGGATGTGTTGTTGGGGGGGGGGGGGGGGGGAATGTCATCCCTTGCAGGGGTGAATTATTTGTATTTGAGGGAAAGCAGGCAGAGCTCCAACTGAGAGGCAGGGAAACCTCTTACATTTTGTTGTTGCAGCACTTTGGTAGCAAAGGTACACTGCCTAATGCCTAGAATTAAATTCTGCCCTCAGATATGTGCATGCAACTCCCAGTGACATCAGTGCATATCAGAGTGCAAAATTGACTATAAGTGCTGAACTTGTGGCATATTCCTGGCACTTGTGTTTTGTTTCAGGCATCAGGCAAGACACAAACAATAAAAGTACATTAATTTATTTATAATACTCCCAGGAGATGGCCAAAACATTTTGACTTTAAATAAATAATGCATGTGTAGTCCAGAATATATAAAAAGGGATGGGGAGGATACAAGACATTTTTACTATCATTTCTCCAAGATGGTAGGTGCTGTGATTGCTGGTTCTCTGCTATTGGCTGAGAGTCAAAGGTGGGTAAAGCAGTGAGTTGAGACTTGGGTTCTATTCCTAACTCTGCCACTGGCCTGCTGAGTGATCTTGGATAAGTCACGCCCCTCTCTGTGCCTCAGTTTCCCCCCTGTAAAATGTGGTCAATAATATTGACTTCCTTTGTAAAGTATTTTGAGACATACTGATACAAAGGACTCTGTAAGAGCTGTGTGTTATTTATCTGCATGCCCCATGAGGTAAATTCAGGGAAGCTGTAGCCCATATGTTACGATACTTTTAAAAACAAAAGAAAGATTGACTGGCATTTTTAGTTCCTGGGGGAAAGTAATGGCCCTTCAAATCAAAATATTACTCCCAATTGGCTCTGTACCTCCATGGCAGTCACTTTTCAGCCATGTATACAAACACTGGTGCCAACTCTATTAGTGCTCCAGAACTCAAGCACCCACAGAAAAAACAGGGGGTCCTCAGCACCAGTGTTCCCTCTAAGATTTTCCATCCATGAGTGGAGTGAGTTTTGTCTTGTGCACTAATATAGAGGTCATGTGTGCTTGTTCAGATGTGTGCCATCATGTCCCACCGTGGGAGCATCCAGGTAGCCACTATGCAGTCCTGATCCCAGCTCCTGCTCTTCCCCAAGCTGATCCTAATGGGGTGTCTTGGGAAAGCAGATATGGAGGCTTAAGCACACAGGCTGCTGGGTGTCTCGCATGAAATAGCAAGTCTTATTCTGAGGGGGAATTATATAGGGGTAGCACAAATGCAAAGTTTCACTATAGGGGTAGTGAGTCATGGTCATCCTGCTGCCCATGGATGGAAGCATGTTGGGCAAAGAAGAAAAGAAGGCCCTTCCTCCCCACCTTCTCTAAAGGAGATCTTAAAGGAGCCAGGATACCTCCTATAGACCTTGGTTCTCTCCTTTGAACTCTGGCCATTTTAGTGGTGCCCTAAACGTGATGTGGTTCTCAGATTCGTCAACCATTCCAAGTACAGTGGAATAATTTCCTCCCTTGTTTTACTTGTGATAGTCCTACAAGCACAATTCAGTTTAGCTTTTGCCTGCTTTTAGAGCACATCATATAACTGACTAATACATGAAAAGGACTAATGACTCACTATGTCTTTTACTGCGACCCCTCCCCCAGTTCCATCTCCATGGTAAGCTATGGCTGCTTAGCCACTTTTAGTGCATTCTGTAGTTGTCTTACAGAATTCCATCTTATATTTATCCTTCTTTCATCTTATGTCACTCATTCAAGCTTATTTCCCAGATTCACTGAAGTACCAGGGTTTAGTTGGCAGTGCACTGGACTGGGAGTCAAGAGACTAGGATATAACTCTAGCTCTGCTGCTGAATTGCTGTGTGACCTTGGGCAAACAGCTTCATATCCCTGTGCCTCTTTCCCCACCTCTGCCCCAGCCTTTGCCTGTCTACCATAAGCCTTCAGAGCAGGGGCTGACTCTAATGAAAGGTATGTCTACACGACAGGTGCTACCCTGACTCAGCTATGGAGCTGCAGCTACTGCCCTGTAGTGTAGATGTTGCCAATGGAATTTTAGGTGTAGACAAGGCGTAAGTGTACGTACAGGACCTCACACAATGAGACCCTGATCTTGATTAAGGCATGTAGGCACTACTATAATAATACTATAATGATATTTTGATCCTCTTCTCTAAAGAGTGTGTGATCCCTTCTAATCATATTATCAGTTCTTATGATTAACGTATTCTCTGCTCTATCCTATATGTAAGGTTAAGATTTTGTCACAGTTATTTTTAGACAAAGCCCCATCTATGTGCAAGGATCTGGGGGAAAGGGCGAGGAGCTCTGCCCATCTATAGAGTTGTGGTTCCCCTCCCATGCCCCACTTGTGTAAGACAGGTTCTGCAAAGCTTTGGCATTGCTGGGGATGTCTGAACCATACTCCCTAACCCTTTAGTGGGAGGGGGAGTCACTGTTCCTATAAGTTTGAGTCCCATTCCCATCCACATATGCAAGCCAGCACCTGAGGGACCCTGTGGGAGGTCTGGTGGTGCCCATCCCTGTTTGCTTCATGTGAAACAAGGTGAACTTGGGCGGGGGTCTTACTTTACTTGCAGCATTTGATTCCCTCTCCCTGCTCCCGTGTGAGCCTCTGGATCTGGGAAAACCCCAACTCTCTGGGTGGGAAGATTGGAACAGACCTCTTCAGAGCATACACCAAGAACATACTGCTGAGCCTAGGGTGAGGAACTGAGAATGGCTATGCTTGACATACATCAGAAGATCTCCAACACTGGTGTTGGGACTAAAGGAATTCATGTAAAAACCATTCAAAATGGAGGGAATGAACTTTTGACCTAAGGACTCCATTTTGGTCAAAATCCCCATCAGCAGCAGAGTACTCTGTGGGTACATCTAGACGACACCTCTCTGTCAACAGAGAGGTGTAGTCTAGACACAGCCTGAGCGGGACCGGCTCTCACCAGCCAGAAATGTTTTTTCCTGCTCAAGCCGAACATTCCATCACCTCGGAGTTTTGC